CAACTTCGCCAGGCTCACATATTTGTCAATTTGTTATAAATCGTCCGCCCCACCCTTTCCCCAGAGTCCCTCTGTCTTTTGATAGACATGTTTGGGTAGTGTACATGTTGCCAACCTTTTCACTCTCCCATAAGACTCTCCTGACTTGACAGAATTCAGAGGTAGTTGAAACACCTGCAACAGTTGCTTCACCTTGAGGTGTTGGTCAAATTGGTCTGAGTGTAGTGTACACCTGTATTGTCTGTTTGATAGCAGTCAGTGCATTTTTGCAAGCCTTTTCTTCCCTTTCTGTTGGTATAGAGCGTTGTAGGCAGCTTGTTTTATATATATATATTACTTATTACAGCTCTAATCAGGACTATGATGAGACTGCTTGTTGTGAGTGCACTCTGTTTTTTTTCCCCCCCTCTGTGGTGCGTGTGGTTTTTTTAAATAAAATTTTTTTATTTTGTTTTGCACCTACTGCAATAATACAAAGCATTATCACCTAGCAATTTCTTCCTTTTTGTCTATGTTCGGACTTTCATGGCCTAAGACAGTTTGAAGAAAAATTCAAATTCTATAGTTGAAATACTAATTTGAAAACAAGACTCTTCCCATAAAGTTGTCTAGCCTTTTGGAAAGTCCTTCATAATATTTACTTTTGACTATTCAGTGTCCACTTCAAAGTGATCTTTCTGTACTTTTAGAAGTTTTTGAGTGAGTGTGTCTTTGCCTTCTTTCCTACACAATATTTTTGAAGACCATTAGTCTGTACGTGTGTACATATGTGCTCTTTGCCCCATATATACATATATATTATATAGATATATATTTGCAACTGATAAGAATAATCAAATATTTTCCTGTCTCCGTGTTATAATATTGAGAAGTACTAGTCACAGTGTCTATGCTAACCTAGCTTTTCATGTCCATTAGTATCAAATCGATGCAAGCTCCTATTTTACATACTCTCTTGTCTTCCTACACTGCAATCAAAATGCCTTGTTTGTCAGTACATTGTGATTGCCTCCTGTTTCCATTTTTTTCCCTTTTTTTTTAACCTTTTTTCCTTGACACTGTTTTAGTTTTAAAATTTTTAATGTTAAACTTTGTGGTTTCGCTTATGTATCATGTTTTTGCCGATTGCATTACAACCGTTTTCCTCGTATGACGACTCATCTGTGACTCTTTTTTTTCTGTTGTCTTTTTCAGGGTGATGATTACTTTTTTTGTGCATCAAGTGTTTTTTTGTCTGTGGCAAAGGAAACTGCTTCATATTGTTACTCTCTCAATTCCAGTTTTTTGAACTACTGCCAAAGATAACAGAACTCTGTACCATTGCCACCATGCCTGAGTTTCTCTCTTTGTCTGTGTGAAATTGTCCAGCGGTCCGCCTCAGACCCCCTATGGATGTGCTTGATTTGACTGGCGCTCAGGACGTGTTGCAAACCCGGCGGTTTTCTCACATATAGGCTTGTACTCTTTGCCTTGTTTTGTCTACTGCTTTCTGTATGCATTTATTGCTTTTTTCCTTTCTTTTTCTTGACCAAACTTCTTGTGCTGAGGGTTTTGCCTTTCTTTTTCTTTCCTTTTAAAAACATTTTTTCTCCTCCCAGTTTTCCAAATTTTCTTGCTATGAAAGGTTAAACAGTTTTAATGAAAAGTTGAAAGAAGCAAAGAGTTGAGCCAATTGAGGTGAGGTGAGCTTGACTATTGTTTCACATGTAGTTTGACCTTTTGTCGACCCCAGCAATTTTGTATGTCATCAATACCAGGATATGCCTTATTTTATTAGCGTTGTGACTGGTTTCCACCCACATTATGGATTTCTTTCCTGTTCTTTTTAAAAAATAATTTGTATCCTCTTATAACTGGAGAGTGGAGAAACTTGTCGTTTTAAAGGATTATTCTCCCCCCTTTCCCCCCCTCTACTCTTACAATAATAATATCATGGTGATAAGTGTCTTTGGATTTGCCTGTGGCGCCTACATGTTCTCATCTATTATTGCTGTGTAGGAGCTTTTTTCTGCCATGTTTCTTTCCCACTGTGGGTCATGTTTTTGTTAGTGATATCACTGGTTGTATCTCTTTAATTGACGCTTTTGTTGTAAAAAAAAAAAAAGTGAAGGTAGATGTTTCAGTATTACTCGAATTTTTATTATTGGTTCTCAATTCCCCTCCCTGGTGTAATAAGAGTAGACATTTCATGACTTGTACAGATCTGTTGTTGCTTGTTTCGTGGGAATAGCACTGGTGAGAGTAAGTCTTGTAGATTAAAATCAACTCTTTGAAAAAGCAAAAAAAAACTGTAAGCAGGTGTCTACCGTACTTGAATCTCTTAGTTTCCATTTCTGTAGTCTCATGTGGGTTTTAGACACAGCCTGTAGTGTTTTCACAGAGTGATCTAACCTTGGGGTAATTTTAGCATGAGGTTATACTGATTACTGTTAAACGTCTGTTGGGCTGTTCAAATTTCTATCTTTAACTAATACTAAGAGAGATTTTGGGAATTTCTCTTTGCTTCTTCCACTTTTGCACTTTAATCTTCTTTATTTTTCTTTGTTAATTACTTCGCATGTATTCCAGCCGAATCCACATGATTGCCAGAACTCTTTCATTCTGTTTTTGCTTGCCATGCATTATTCATCACTATTGACCGCAATAAAGATAACACAGTGTACTAACAGTATCCTCTAATACATACATGGTGTGCTCTATCCCCCCCCCCTCCCCCCCTCCCTTTCTCCCGCATCCCTTCACCATTTTCTCAAGATTTAAGTTTGCTCAAAATGTTTATGCAATCAAGGATGTATGTAATATTTCAGACTGAATCTTTAGCTTTGTCCAACCCAGAGAGCTTGAGGGTAGGGAACCATGCTAAACGGCACAGTGTCGTTGTGTTGTGGGTTATAGATCAAGCTTGGACCTTGACCTAACGTCTGTTCTTTGTAACCACAGGCTTTTTGTTCTCTTAGAGATTTTTGCATTTTACACAGTTTTATTATTACTCCATGTATTATCAAGTTTGTATCGATGCTGTGCTATTCCCAAATTGTAGAATATATTTTATCGACAGTATAACAACATATCAGCTTGCATGCTCCATATATTTTTCAGGAATGCCCTGTCAAATCTTGTTACATTTCCAGTCAACAAAGTTTAAAAGTCTATGCTGTATCACAGTCTGTGAGACTTATAACCTCAATATATTACCACTAGATACTGTTTTTGAAAGAGTTCTTCCCTTTTTTCTCTCTCCCCCCTACCCCCAATTCTCCATCCGCTTTAAAAAAAAAATGAGAATCTCAAAAATGTCCTTTATTGTAATGAGGCTTTTCTATTCTTTCTCAACACTGTGTTTTTCTTAAGATGTCGATAACACAGGTTGACAAAGTAGTGAGGTCTCCACTCTTGATGTGCACTGGAAAGAAGACTGGATGTAAAAGTTAAGATTTCGTTTCCAGGGCTAAAATTATTTTGTCAATTTAAAAAAAAAAAAGGGAAGAACTCTTTAGTAGGTGTAGCCTTTGTACTGCTTTGAGAGCTCTTGTACTTGCTGTGAGGCCAGGCTTAGTATGTCATTGTGCTTTGTAGATACCTCTGCTCTGGCTGTAGTCACGTCTTCTGTCTTACATAATATTGAAACCTGTTTGTGGCAAGTACTAGAGCTCTGGAAGGCATACTTTTTAAGTGCTAATTATTAATATATGGTTGTGAATTTCATTTCCTGAGTAGAGTAGACTGGTTTTCATATCATGATTGTCCAATTTTCTTCCCATTCACTCGTATATTGTCCATGGTGGCTTATTGTTTTTCTTCAACTTTAAAGAAAAGTAACAATTTACAACTTTGGTGCATGATGGATCTGCGTTGTTTGTAATGTGTTGGAGTTGACTTATGGCATAAAATCATGCTTTAAACGTGGCGTGAGGAGTGAGGAGTTGTAGGGTGCGGTGTCTGTTGCTTGGCCAGGGCCAAAAGTTTTGTCAAAAACAGTAGATCAATGATTTGTTGCAGATATAGAAATACTTGACTCTGAATGTGTCTTGGGGTAAATTCCACCTTCAAGTTGGGTCAGACTCCTGGATAAAGTAGAAAGAACCTGTTTGATCCTTGTTCAGCTTCGATCTATAAACACCTACACAAGAAGGCGTTCTGTGGGCCATAGCCTAGCTGAACTTAAGTGTTTGTCAGTTGTGAGCACCTGTATTTGGCTTTACCTTGCCGTAGCCTTTCTCTTCAGACTTGGTACACCTTGTATTCAAAGGTTTGTTAATTAATCAGGGTGCTTTCTGCCCATATCACCCACGTACTGCCAATGTTGGACTCCCTTTTCTATTCTTTTTCTCAAACATATTCCACAACGCACTTGTACTTTGTGCAAAGCTACATCAAGTCCTTCTTTGAGCTTTGAATCGTATAACTTGTTATTTTTGTAAGAGTCTTGTGAATAAATAATCTACCAGCTTGTTTCTATTACAAAAGAATATCTAATCTATATATATTGCTGTAGCTATTTACACCCATAGATTTTTTTCTTCCAGACTCATAGTAGAATCATGTATAAACATATATTTTTGTACCTTACAAATTCC